ATAGATAGATAGATAGATAAGTTAACAGCCTTGCTCCACTTCCTTTTGCTGGTCTAAAATGGAACTGAGCCCCTGAGAGGGACAACATAAAATAGGCTGCAAAGCACAGACTGCCTCCTTTTCCAGGCCTGGCTACTTTTCGAGCATTTAGCTGGCACTCTTACGCAGAGCGACTTACAATGATTGATCAGGCAGGGGATTCGGGGTTTCGTTTTAGGATGCTGCCATGGCACACATGGCTATTTGTGGAGATTTTGGGAACATGCCTGTAACGTTTCTGTTTTGGGCTGTTCTCACCAAACTTCTACTCCACGGTGCTATTTGTGTCAGGACATTGCAAACTATGGTGCTTTTCAGATATTACGTTATCAGTCCAACCAGATGTCATGCATGTAATCTATTTTGGTCTAAATAGCCCTCTGTTAATTACTATTTGTGTGTGCTTTTAGGACCTGAGGGTTGGGACACCCCAGGCTCAATCTGAGGGCTCAGAAAAGACATTTATGTTATGTAAAATGTAAAGGACATTCCTCTCATCTTTGCTTTTTGGTCTTGCGAAGTGCTGGATAATTTTACCTTTTATGGCCTCCTTTCCAGATGCACAGTATGCAAGCTGTAGACATTCGTTTGAAAGAGTCACAAGCACAAGGTGGAGTACTCAACACTAAACTCTGCCTCTATATGCTGCACCTACAGTATCCACTGTGTGGCTTCACTAACAACTTTGTCCACATTTACTGTCATAGGAGAATAGAGTTACTTTGACTGAGAGGCATTTGCACATTTCGTCTAATCGTCTCTGTCAGATAAGCTCTCCTATCACAAGTCTAATATGTGAACTTCTGTTAAACGTGCGCCAAAGCTCTCAGATTCATCAGTACTAGAGAAAAGGCTGACATTTTCAATCAATCCAACGTTTGCTTATCACAACTAAATCCAATATTCACCTTAAGACAACTTGCCGTCTCAAAGATGTCTCTGTATCCGAGCCTGAGAGAGCTCGACAAAGGCTTCTTATTCAGCGTCACCTCGAAGCACCGGCAGCATGATCAAAGGCAAAATTAAAAGGAGAAAATATATAAACACACAAACACACAAAGCCAGCGCTTGTGAGCGGTTATAAAATTACGGTCACAGGCACAGACACATGATGGAGCCTCTTGGTGCGTTGCCATGGCAACTGCACAGCGAGTCAGGGGGGTGGGGGGTGGGGGGTGATCCAGGACACATAGCGTTAACGTGATGGCAAGGCCAAATCACACACACACACACACACACACACACCAGCTATGGTTCTTCCAATGCAGCAGCGAAGGACAGAAGATAACTTGGCATTGAGATTTCATTGCTATTTTACAACTGACACACACACACACAAATGCAGTAGAGGGCTGTGTCCTTGCAGTAGGAGGCCGGTTCTTTACCAAAGCAGTCACGTACGGAGTCATACATCACATCTATTAGCTCAGTGCTTTTATACAGCTCATCTTGCCATTGGCTGTACGGACACTTAGCCCCCCCACATAACTTTCTGGACGTGAGCCGAGCAGCAAAAAACATTAAGATAGCAAAGACGCCACAGCGTGAAAGACAGACGCAGAGGAAGGATGGTGACAGAATAAAGAAAATCGAGTGGGTGAACAGACAGAGCGCAGAAAGAGGTAGACATGAAGAGAAACAAGGCAGAGGAAGACTCAGAATCAGAGAGGTGGGAAGAAGGCGAAAGCGAAAGCAACGCAAGGTCAAATATAGAGAGAAGCGTAGAGACAGGCGTAAACAGAAAGAGGTCAACGGACGGAAATATGCAGGCAAAACCAGAGAGTCAGAATGATACAGAGTGAGAAAGAGCTAAGAGAAATACTGAAAAAGAAAACATTCAGTGGATGGATGAAAAGAGGCAGTGAGACAAATACAGTATAGAGAGACAGACAGGCAGGCAACCGCAAGCAGAGAGCGAAAAAACAGAGAGGCGGAAAGGCAGAAAGAGAGTAGTATACTGTAGGCTGATGAGCAGAGAGACCAGTCAGAACAAACACAAACACAAATAGAGAAAAACAGAGACAGAGGCAGAAGAGAGAGACAGGCAGAGAAAGCAATAACAGAATGGACACGATCAGGGAGGAAAACATGCAAAGCAAAGAGCACTAAAGCAAGGTTTGCCTCATTTTGAATCTCTATACGTTTGACACACCAAACCCTTACACAGTCCAACACACAGGTCGCATGTGGGTGTGTGTTTTTATCAAGACCGTTCAATACGCACTGAGACATACTGTACATCTTTCCACCTTAAATTCAGAAAAACAGGTGGAGGTGGAGAGAGCATTAGTGCTGAGCAAGTGGAAAACACAAGCAGCAACAAACAGGAGGCTGACAACGAGCTCATCTTTAAACGCCAAAACACAACTGAGAACTAAGGTCATTACCGTCACGCATACAGTGTGGCGTTTGTGTAAACAGAAATGAAGATGATTTGGGTGTTTTCCCCCCCCTGCTTTTGTTTGTGTAAAGGGGAGATGTTAATCCTTTTTTAAGATGCAAGTCACCGCACGGAGCCAGAGAGTATCTCGCTGTATTCCTAATGCTGTATTAATTCATTCTTTCACTCAGGCACTGTACCACGCCAGTCTGAAAGTGGACCAGAAAGTGGACCAGAAAGACCACAATCAGAGCAAAAGATAGAAGAGAGTACCCATACAACATCTGAAAGGCTTTCTTTGTCTCACAGAGTGTTTGTACTGCAAATGTTTTTTTTTTCTTTAAATCTGTCTGAATCAAATTCGCTGACCATACAATTTAACTAATCTGATCTAGATTTTTGAAAATTAAAAGCCAAAAACAATAATAGGTATGCGTTCTGTTTTTGGGGGGCATTTTTTTTGCCTTTATTGGAAAGGACAGCTGAAGAATGACAGGATAGGGGGATGACATGCAGAAAAGGGACTTAGCCTTGGCACATGGGGCGCAAGCTCTGCCAGGTGAGCTACCAGGCCGCGCCAAGTCTTTGCATTTCTGAGCCTGGTGCCTTATTATTGATTTATTGTATTATATTTTTGTGAATGTGTGTGCCACAGTTCCATACATGTTTATGACCATGACTCTAACAGATAATCACTGTCATTTTCCTCATCGCCGGCACACCAGTCACTGGTTTAACCACTGGTAGGACAAAATGAACCCAGTCCTAACTTAAAGTGGGTATAATGGAAGAGCTGTGCTGATTATTAAGCTGGCGTAAACACTGTAATGTTTCAGCTGTGTGCGTTTGTGTATGTGTGCGATCACCTTGTCTCGGGGCAGTTGGAGAAACAAATATGAACTATCAGGAATGTCCTGATGGATGTGTATTTTGTAAGTATTTTTCTGTTCATATACAGGAGTGTGTGAGTTAGTGTTGCTGGGAAAAGGGCATTGTCCACTCCTGCAGTGATGCATGTTTAAAATACAAACGTTAAATGCTTTTTCTAATGGAAAATGTTCTTTCAGACCCAAACTGTAGTAGTAAAACACTATTTAGAAGCTGCTAGGGCTGTTGCAGTACATGCGTAAAGCGCAGGTTCAGACAGGAGTCCCTCAGCCTATAACCTTGTACTGTGAATGAATGTGCCTCCAACATCTTGTTATGTGTGTGAACATGCCCAGACTGCTTCTTACACTCTAACCCAAGTGTAAGTGTGATGTGCACAGATCTGAACACACACTCTGCCCGTTTTCAGTCTCAGCCTCTCAACTCTCACGCCCCACAATGGCATCTGTAGCCCTAGTGCTACATTTTTCAACAGCCCAGAATGTTTTTTCCGCATCCGTCGTGGTTTACATTTAGCACACAATTAGCAAATTAGCACACAAAAGAACTACAAAAGAAGACATGTCTTCCTGCATACAATTATTCATGTACAGTACCATATGATTAGTTCAAAGGCGTCTACTTGAAAGGGTTGTCTTGTTGCTAGTCAGCAGAGAGCAATGTCCAAGTT